ATTCTGATTATATTATAAATTATATTTTGGAGAAAGTGAAAGAACATGAAGAATCCCTGGATGTTAATGATCCTCGAGACTTCATTGACTGTTTCCTAATAAAAATGGCTCAGGTACAGTGTTGCCATCAGCCTAGTTTTTTGATTCCTTGATCATGTTGTGGTTTGCTGAACCCCTTTAAATTTGTAGAAGTGTTACATGATCAGGACAATAATGATTCTGAATCACTTTGATGACCCAGTGTATCATGAATCTCCATGAAGCATCATGGAAAACATGCAATTATTAAATAATTAGAATATGCTGACTCTATTCTTTAGATAAAAATCTACGTGAGGAGAAAGAATGCACACCTAGGTTTTTGAGAGTGTTAATAAATACACAAATTGTCAGTTAGACTGACTCAAAGAAAGAAGAGATGATACAAACTAATAATAAAACAAAAGGAAGGATGTGGCTGCCGAAGAGACAATTTCCAATCAAGTTAGAACATATAAAATACCATGCCATGACATGAGGATGGAGTTCATCACTGCACAGCTTTGAGGACATGGAAAGGAGCAGCTTACCCCAGGTACACCACCTGCATGTCCTGTGGACTGAAGCAGACCTTGACATGTGCAGCGTGGACAGCAGAGCAAATTGCAGATGGGTTGAGTCTTGTAGGTGGTGGTGTGGGCAAGAGTAGCTGCAGAGACGAGAGAGGCCTTGTTGAATGCAGCTTTAAATGAAGTCACATAGAACACAGAGTTAGAGATGGTGTCTGTCAGGGACCCTGAAAGCAGGAATGGGTTGTCACTGCAGCATCAGTTAAAAGGTTATTTATTCCCATTGAATTTCCTTGGCACCCTGATCAGTTGTCTATAAATGTGAGGCTTTGTATGTGGACTCTCATGCTGCTCCATGTTGGGTATGTCCACCCTATGCCAGGAGGTTCACCATCCTGACGTCCTGTCCTCTTCGGTGTTCCTGTGTTTCATCTTTTGCAATAGGAAAGTGAGTTCTCCAACTGTGTTGTTGGTGTTCAGGACTTTTAGGCAATTCTAGGTCCCTTGAATTTCCATATCAATTTCAAGATGAGATAGTCAGTTTCAGCAAAAACCAGTGTGGAATTCTGACATGAATTGCAATAAATTTGTGTTTCATCATTGTCATTTAGAAAATTGAGATGAAATTCACATACCATACAGTGAACCTTCTTGAAGTTAACTTTATTGGTATTTATAGCATTTACTGTGTTCTGTGATTGTATATGTCTCCAGTTTCAAAAACTATTCATTTTTTCTCAAAAGTATATGTACCATGAAATGAACACACCCCTCTTCCACACCCCTGTACTCTGATTTCTGTCTGCATGGATGTGCCTATCGTGGATAAATAATGAAAGACCTTGTGGCAATGCAACCTTTTGTTTCTGGCTTTTTTTTTATTCTATATAATGCATTGGAGACTCATCTAAGTTGTAGCAAGTATCACCATTTTGCTCTTTTGTATGGCTGAGTGCTTATCTTTTTTATTGGTGTGCATACTATGGTTTAAAATTTTTGATAGAATTCACCAGTATATCACACAAATCCACCTTTCTTTTGGGGGGAGTTTGATTACAAACTGTCTATGTTAAGTTGTTGCA